TTGCTTTCATAGAAGGAAGTGGAAACCTACACGCAATTATAACAGAATCTTTTTGTAATTCATTTATAAACTTTGTTTCAACATCTTGCATCTGAAAACATTATAGTTTATCAAATATATTATGAGTAAGCATTATTGTATAAAAAGTAATAAGTGGAATTTACCATTTGATCAACACCAAATAAAACTATGTTATTATAATTCCTTAAATTATGTTTCCATAAATTTTGTTTAATGAATGTAGTTTGTGATGATGATCTTGAAATTAAAGCTTTTAATCTAGAATACCATACTAACCAAGGATTTAATTCAATACCATGAGCTTTAAATCCTGCTTTTGCTGTTGCAAACACCTGTTAATAATATCATATTTTAATTAATATTTCATAAATTATATTTTGATTAATGCATCACTCACTATACGTCCATCTCCACTTCCAAGGTCAATCAAAGATCCAGAACGTCCTTCTAAAGCATGCAATACATTTTGTACCTGTTGTGTTGTTGCTGGTACATAAGGTAAACATATTTTGCGAAATGCGGGACTCACAAATGGGATACATATCACACTAATAGCTATTCCAATACCTCCTGAAAAATAAAATGTATATATTCTATTTCAAAAAGGTCAATATAATTTATTTTGCATTACATTACCTGTTATTCCAATGAGATATAGGCCAAGCTTCGATCTTTTTTGTGGTATATTTGGCGACGAATTGACATTATTATTTAGGATGTAATTAAATCCATTAACCTCTGCTGATTAAATTGATACAAAATTAAAATTTGTAAATGTAAGATTGTGTTTTGAAGCAAATTTATAAATCTCAGTATTCTATTTTATAATTTGTAATTCATGAATCTTACACATTTTATTCATTTAATATTTATTAACAATATAAAAATTCCTTGTTTACGTTTACAAGTAAGGCACAAACCACGAGAATTATAAATTAATTTCAAAACGTGGACACTCAACGCATAATCTGGTAACTCCCAAACATTAGAGAGATTCTGGCTACACTGTTTCCCTAGATTCCTATGTGTCATGCATCGATAGAATTTTCTTGAGCAGCACAATCGTAATTCTTGATCGTGATCCATCACGGCCAGGAATACTTTCCCATTGTCATACGTGGACTAAGTTGTTTCGTATTGTTTTGCGGTAAATTGATTGCGATTCTTTAACGCATTGTTAATGATTTCGCGCGTAATTCTTTCGTTACATTCGCAACGAAACTGTTTTCGTGTGAATACGCTCTGATAATCGGTATTTTTACGTTTTTACGAACAAAGCTATCAAGATGCCGGTGTTTCACACAAAAACCATAGAAAGCATCCTCGAGCCTGTCGCACAACAGGTAATTACATTTATGTTTTAATTTTGCGTACATTTAATTATTACATTCATAAAACACAATTAGCTTGATAGTGTTCCGAAAAGTGTCATTGGCTTGTTTTCTTACTTATGAGAGACAGAGAAGGAGATAATTAGAGAGAGATGATAAAGGAACTGACTAATTAACTTCATCTTAAAAAAAAATGATTTATTTTTTAAGATGTACGCGTAAAATATGTTGCAAATATTTTTTATATGTTTGATGTAATACATATGTGTAATATATTTGTATATATCTGGAATCTGTCAAGTTAAAATTATTTATTAAATATATACTAGTTAATGTTACTTTATAGTTAACTTGTTGAAAGGATAATTTATAAGTTCATCTTTATTGGCATTGATTATTATAAATGATAGTACATATTTGTCTTGACTAAGTTTTGCCAAGTGACTTGTGTTTCTTTATATAGAACTATGACATCATTCTACAAATATAGGGCAGGGGTATTAAATACATCTTTAAGTCTAAAGGCTGAGATGTATGAAATTTAATCCCATCATATATACGTTATGAAAAACATTGTTAACCACCTAAGATCACTTGGTATTTCCATAAATGGACATGTTGGAGCTACCTATCATCATATCATCCCACGCATTACACTTACAAAATAACTAATGTTATTTAAACTGAATATCCTTCTGATTATGTTAATGAAACTGGTTTCAATGTTAATGTACAATAAACAAACACATTTGTATAAACATACTAATGGTCCTTGAATTTCATTTTAATATATTAATAACTTTACTTTGAGTATCATTTGAAAATAAATATACTAATTTTATTTTAGAATTGTTATGGTTCAGTATTATTTTCAACATTTACTTATTTTGTATTGTAATTACATGCCATGCTATTATACTATACCTGGAACATATTTATAATCTTTAAGGGACAACCTCAGATATTAAATTTTATTGTTTTATTTCCATATAGTTATGCTTTGTTAAAGAATTGTAAGTTATAATAATTAATAAATTGATTTTATAAATAGCTTAAATAAATTCAAAGTTGTGAAAAAGAATTTATGATACAAGCCAGTTTGGTATTATCTACATTTGTATAATATAGGTCTCAAGGCTTGTTATCTTACATGAAGAAGCTGAAGATGGAAATGCAATGCCCGATTTGGGAAGGCCTGTTCAAGCAGTTAGTACAGCAGTGGCAAATCTTGTAAAGGTAAGTTACAATATAAAATAAAAATTTTTGCACAAGAATTTATTTAAATTTAATAACACTAATATGCAGGTGGGAAAGGAAACAATCAATTCTTCTGATGATGCTCTGCTTAAACAAGATATGCCTGCTGCATTACAACGGGTTGAAGGAGCTTCACGTCTCCTGGAAGAGGCATCAGCTATGCTAAAACAGGACCCATATTCTGGTCCAGCTAGGTATTATTATACAATCAACTTTATATTATTTAGTTGTTACAATCTTACTCTTAATTAGAGAATACATTATTTTAAGTGAAAAGTTTTCAAATCATTACTAGGAAAAAGCTTATAGAAGGTTCACGTGGGATTCTTCAAGGAACTAGTTCCCTATTGTTGTGTTTTGATGAAAGTGAAGTACGTAAAATTATTAGAGAGTGTAAAAGAGTATTAGATTACTTGGCAGTAACAGAAGTCATTGAAACAATGGAAGATTTAGTTCATTTCCTTAAAAACTTAAGTCCTTGTCTTAGCAAAGTATCAAAAGAAGTAAGTGCCCGTGAAAAAGAGTTAACTCATCAAGTACACAGGGAAATTCTTGTACGCTGCTTAGAGCAGGTAAATATAGAAAAAGTTGGTTTCAATATATTATATTTATTTTATTAATTATGTTAGTAATGAACACTGAATTTAAACATGTAACAGGTAAAAACACTTGCACCAATCCTCATTTGCTCCATGAAAATATTTATTCATATTATCTCTCAAGGAGGTAAAGGAGCAGAAGAGGCAGCTGAAAATCGTAACTACCTATCTGGCAGAATGTCAGATGAATTAAATGAAATTATTAGAGTGTTGCAACTGACAACATATGATGAAGAAGAATGGGATGCTGATCAGTTAACAGTAGGTATCACTTAAGAATCTCAATGTAAAATGCGAAAATTAAATAATTAAAAAACTCTTTTTAGGTACTGAAAAAAGCACAAAGTGCCATAGAATCTAGAATAAGAGCTGCTTATGATTGGTTGGATGATGGACTTGCTTTGCGTGGTGGTGTAGGGGAAAAAAGTCTTCGTCAAATAGTTGAACAAGCACAGCGATTAGCAGAAAGATATCTTCCACCCTCACAAGCAGAACCATTGCAAAAATTAAGTTCACAAATTGTTACTATGACTAATGCTCTTTGTGAATTACGACAAAACGAGAAAGGTTTGCAATTAAATATATTTTGTAAACATACTTTTTAAATAAATTTTTTTAATATTTTTATTTTTAAAGGAACCACACCTCAAGCAGAAGCATTAGCGCGTGGTATAAAAGAAAAAACGAACGAACTTCGTAGCTCTATTGCTTCCGCTATAGTGGCTGCCGACAAATCTGGAACTACACAAACTGCTCATACAGTCGCAGGTCGTCTAGAACAAGCTAATAAGTGGCTTCTTAATCCACAACACGATGACAAAGGACTTGGTCAGAGGGCTATAGCTTTGATTATACATGAAGGGAAGAAGGTATGATACATTGAGTATTGAAATTCGTCGAAATTTATTTTTTTTTTATTGAATATGAGGATACAATACAGTTATGAGTTCAAAAGTATATCATTTAATTTTAATGATTTAAATGCCGCAAATGGAAAGAATCAACAACACGTAGTAAGCGTAAGTTACGTGTATTAGTTAGACATATTCATTTTAAAATGTAACAATATAATTATGTTGTTGGTATCATTTTTATACATGCGACGAAGTTCTAATCTTACTCATGTTTATTAGTTGGTTTATACTCTAAACATTAGGTTGCCGAAGGTTTGCCTGGCATACATAAAGCAGAAATTCTACAATTATGCGATGAGGTTGACAATCTTTCTCATCAACTTGGAGACTTATGCGCTCATGGTCAAGGGAATACTCCTCGTGCCCAAGAAATAGCTCGTCAACTATCCTATAAACTGTATGAGCTGAAAAACAGAATACAGCAAGCTGTTGTATCTAGAGTGGTTGAAGATTTTATTGATATAACTACACCTTTGAAGCAATTCACGGATGCTGTATTAGCTCCAGAAAGCACCCCAGGACGCGATCAAAATTTCAACGATAAAACGCTTGCTCTTCAAACGTTCTCCAATAGAGCAGCAAAAACAGCCAGAATGGTGGCTGCTGGTGGTATAAAAATATATTATTACTAATTAATAAATTTATTTCCTGATATTGTTTTATTTTTTCTTTATCTAAATTTTAGGAAGTGGTGGGAATAAAAAATTAGCGGAGGCGTTAACCGCAAGCGCTTCACAAGTTGAATCGTTGACGCCACAATTGATAAATGCTGGACGAATTCGTATGACGTATCCAGACAGCAAAGCAGCAGACGAGCATTTTGAAAATTTGCGACAACAGTATGCAGAAACAATGCAGAGAGCACGAGCATTGTGCGATGAAGCAACTGATAGCGGAGATTTTATTCGAACTTCTGAAGAACAGATGCAAAAGCATTCGTTCCTGTGTGAAGAGGCTATTGCAAAGAGTCACCCGCAGAAAATGGTTGACAATACAGCTGCCATTGCTAGATTGGCTAATAGGGTCATACTCGTTGCTAAACAAGAAAGCGATAACAGTGAAGATCCTGCGTTCATTAAAAGAGTGAATCAGGCTACAGATATTCTCCAAAATAGTGAGTAATATATAATGATGTTATTTAACAATATTTTTGTATATAATTTAATTTAATTATTATCAAAGTTAGTTGCAATTAATATTAATGACAGTAATGCAGTTTCCCGTTGGAGAGAAAGTAATCGTGCGGTTGGTAGTATAAAATATAAATTATATTTTTATTGGCATCATAGTAATTGATGTATTTATTGTTACATGTTACAGCTTTTGTCTAATGTGGGGCAAGTTCGTAAAGCTATTATAATTCAACCAGATTTGATACCTCCGCCCGAGGTATCACAGTTACATCTTAACGATGGTAAGCACGTAAAATACTTTTTTGTACATTTTAAACTCTTTTATGTCCAGCAAAAGTGATTTACTAAATTTAGGTTTCTCTGAGGATAAGCATTTAATACTTTAAGCGTATGTATTTAACAAATTCATGTTCTTTCATAGTTCTGTCATCATTCTTTAAATCATTTGTTTCATTTGGATACTGGCTTATAGTTCTCTCAGGTTTATATTTAATAAATCAACAAAATGAACAAAATTTACTGATTATAATATGCATTACAAGCATAGATGAAGTTTAAACTTTTATTCCGTTATAATGTAAAAAGCCTTAACATATTTCTTCCAGACAAACAATTGCCAAGCCGTCAATATAATTACTTCACAGACAAAGGTACTATATATTTGCATGAAGATAATTTGTGCATGACTGATTATCATATTGTATTAGTCAAATACTACTTTTATAATTTCATTAGATACACATAAATGAAAAATATCAATAATCTAAAAATATTGTGTGCAATATTAAACTCATTCCACATTTCAAACTTCATATTTTATAAATTATGATATTTATTTAAGGGGAAAAAGTAGAATACCTCGATACAATGTTATTTCATTTTTCTTATTAATTTTAATGAAAAATTTGAATATTTGTGAATATTTCTTTAAATGCTAGTTGGTGAGCCTTTAAGAAATCAACCATCTCCAAGCAATTTATGTGTCATCAGCCCTAATTTGAACACAAATAAATCTCAACGTCGCTCTATTAGTCCATTACCAAAATGGGCACGTGAAGGTATTTACCATTATTTGAAAAAAAATCAACCAGATTTAAAATACAATATGTTTGCAATTTATTTGTTTGCTTGCATAACGTTTGTTACATATATTTAAATAAGTTTCTTCAAAATGAAAAAGGAAATACAAATTTCTGAAACAATATTGTCCTTTGATATCGAGACGTGAAAGTAATTATTTTTTTTTATCAGGAGATAACCCTGATCTCTTATATCAAGAACTGGCTTCTGACAACGAGTTAGAAAAATCAGTTCAAGATGGAGGTAATTTAAGACTAGTATTTTTGGGGACTGAAATTGCAAGTGTTCAAAACTTTGTTTATCCATGGGAAAAACGCATGCGTATATTGAAATTAAATGTATATTATTTTATTAATAGGAATGAAAAAGTTAAAACCCTATATACAATTATTAAATTAAAGTATAAAGAATGATATTTTTAGTCGCTAAAGATGATAATATTGTTTTGCACTTACTTTCATTAAATATAGGAAGTATATATTACTTAGTAAAGTTATTTAAAAAAGTACCAGATAGAAATATCAATACACTACATAATTCATTGCCTTGTATAATTTACATACATAATTTTTTTCATTTAGTTAGGTATGAAATGTACCAAGTATATTATCATTATAATGTTATTATATGATAATATAAGTTTTTAATCTTCATCTTCCATACTAATATCCATAACAATTTTGTTCATTTTTTCGAATGATTTAACAAAATTTTTAACTTTTTAATACATTGCACATGATGTCATGTTTTCTAATGCACGTTTTACTACAACAGTTATTATACTGATACATAATTCAATATTATTAATATGTGTTTATATTTTTAATGCTGCGTGGAATGTTAGGCTGCTATTATGATTATGACAATGATGATGGTAAATATGAAATTTGCATTGTTTTCATATATATGGTATGTTAAATGTCACTGTGTACAATGTTTGTATCAAAAGAGAGTTTATTATTTAGCGAAAAACCTACGATTTTTATTGTAAGAAGTATTTATTATAAAACAATTTTAATTTATACAGAAATTGCCCCACCTCGTCCACCATTACCAGGTGGTGATATTCCTCCTCCACGACCTCCGCCACCTGAAACGGATGACGAAGACGAAATGTTTATGCACGCACCACAACCCAATCAGCCTATAATGGTATATGGAGTTTATGTTTTAATTTTCTGTTCTGAAAAACGCAAGTACCACTTACCACTTTGGCTAAATTTCAGATGGCTGCTCATGGTTTGCATCAAGAAGTACGACAATGGTCAAGCAAAGATAATGAAATTATTGCCGCTGCGAAAAAGATGGCTTTCTTAATGGCTAAATTATCAGGTTTAGTTAGAGGAGAGGGTGGTAACAAGAGGGATCTGATTGCATGTGCTAAAGCTATTGCAGAAGCTTCTCAGGAAGTGACTCGCTTAGCAAAGGAACTCGCTAGAGAATGTACTGACAAACGCATTCGTACGGTACGTACATAATTTACCTGTTGTAGTTAGTGGTATATTTATATCATGCTATAAAGTTATATTATTCGTATTCATATTTGTATTTACTTTTATATTTAATACTCATTTTTGTTTTATAGAACCTTCTTCAAGTTTGTGAACGTATACCTACCATAGGTACGCAATTAAAGATATTATCAACGGTGAAAGCTACAATGCTGGGTGCACAAGGTACAGTATGCAAATTATTTTATTTAATATATACGATAAAACAATCGTTTTAGAGTAAATTCAATTGTTTTAAATATTAAATATCATATATTAATTCAATTCTTTAAATTAAAATGTCAATAAGAATTCATAGAAATCAGGAAGTTCTATATTTTAAGAGAATCACTTAACGAAAATAGTTATTAATACAGTTTTTTATACATAGAGACGCTCCCCACCTGGGAAGAGTTGATGCTTTATGGTAAAAAAGTTGATAAATTATGCTTGATGTTTTTATCGTTCTCTTTAGCGTTTATTTCTCTTAATTGTTAGAATATTTCACAGTTCTGCACTTGCATTACAATGCATGCATACATTAGCCTTCCCCATAAAGGATTACGAAAAAATTCAATGAACAATAATTATTTTATTATAAAAAATGTAGGAGTATTTAACAATACATTTGAAAAAAAGTGGTTAGTCAGGGACCAACATTTTCATTTATAAATGGGATATCTTTATTCAATAGATTGTAAAACGTATAATCTGTAATTATTTTTTAATCTTGTAATTTTCAATTTAATTACTGATGCCTTATTAAACCCTAAATGGTTTGTGGTTGATGTGCCTCTGCTCATCGTGGTGTAGACGAATTAATTGGCTGCAGTAAGTTTACTATGAAATAAGTATAAGTTAGCATAGACAGTATAATTAAAAATAAAAAATATCTGTGGAAATTAACGTTGTGTACAGTCAAGAAGCAACATTGTACTGTAAAAGATGTAATTTCATATACAAATAATGCAGTTAATTTATTTTTGTAAAATTAGTTTAAATTAGTCTGGAGTAACTTTTCGTAACTTATGCCGTTTATCTTTTCAACATTAGTATGTATATTTTAACTTTGTCCTTTTTGCATGATTTTTTTATTTTTACATGTTTTTTTTTCTTTTAAAACATTTGTGTTTTTATATTATAATATCTATATGAACATGTGATGTTTTTATACACTGAAAAGTATTAGTATTCATATACTGCATGTAGTCCTTCCTGTAAGTAAACGATTGATTATGCAGTCTCGTGTCCCTTATTGCACTTGCAAACAAGAATTTACTTTTATGGCACGCAATTTGTATGTATTTAAGAACTGAATTTTTATTACACTGAAATCGTTCACGTTAGTGTATTTTAATTAATTTGTTGTGTACATTAATTACATAATCTAGTACACTTTTGTAGATATTAATGGTAGAAATGGATACCTTTATTATTTAAACATTGTTTTCAATTTTATTATTAATTCAAAATTTCAAAATCTACTTAACATCTAATTTATGTTTTAAAAACTTAGGCACAGAGGAAGATCAGGAAGCAACAGACATGTTAGTTGGAAATGCTCAAAATCTCATGCAAAGCGTAAAAGAAACAGTTCGTGCAGCAGAGTGTGCTAGCATAAAAATACGCACTGCATCTGGTATGAAATTACGTTGGGTACGACGCCAACCTTGGTACCAATACTAAATAAGATGTTGCAATAATGAAAGTAAATTATGACAGATGGGTAAGACTTTCTAACATTAGATACATTTTAATAATCGATTCCACATGATATATTTCATGAGTGTTCTATTGAGGGACAATATTCAAATGTTTAAAATTAATGTAATCACCAATGATTTATCTGGTCTAACCATAAGCTGTGAGATATGTATTTTTTTATTTCTCATTCATAACAAATTAAAAAAATGGGTTTTATGAAGTATATAGAATGAATTTTACAATTATTGTTAACCAAGGGATAAAAAATATATAACTCCTAGGTTTTTGCAGTTGTGATTAAATCCATTTTGAACATTCGAATTATGTTCCTTATAATACTTTAATAAGCATAAACCTATTCATATGATAATTTATACTTATAAAAAACATATTGAAAAATAATGTATTCATTTCATAAAAACTATAGTTTGTAACGTGACAAACGAGCTAGTGATTAATATTAGAGAGATACTTTACACGAATTGAGAAACGTATCTCAATCCTTAAAGTATAATTGAAAAGTATTTTCAGATGAGATTTAAGAGAATACTTAATCAACAAGCATTTTCAGAGTCTATCTCTCTTATAGTTTAATTAAAAGATAGAAAAATAAATAGAGATGATAGAGCTTATGCCTTATACAAATTACCAATTTGCTATATATTTTTATGTATATTTGCAGTAAGTGTACTTCACACACACAGAAACATATACACATCGTCTTAACATTAGCACAATTAATAAGAAGATAACAAATTTTTATCTACATTTATTAAAATGTCATATTAATCCAAAATAGTATGGTGTATTTTTGCAGAGTGAAAATGCGTGAATATAATTTTAATAGGTGCTATTTACCGCAATATACATGTAGAAAACCGTAAATGCAATACTATAATGAGGAAATCTATTTTTGTAAGTTTTACCTAATCATCCTTTTTAGAGGATTATATAGTTGTCTTTGTATTCTTATTTTTTTTTTTTCAAACTGGTGCTATATACGTGCAATATAGATACATTTTGGGAGATAACATAAAAGTGAGCAATGTTAAACCAAATATGTGGAATCAATTTAATATATTATTAAGTTTTGTAGATTTAATACTAACGTAAACAACAATTCGTAACACGAAATTGGAATGTTTATAATATGTAATATTAATTTTTATAATACAATCCAAGATACTTTTATGTAAAATTATTTGTAATAAAGATTAATTTTTATTATACAATACAAATACAAAAGTTTGTGAAATATAGTTTGTATAATAACAGCATTATGTACACAATATTATTCTAAGAAATAATAAAATTAACAAAAAAATACTGCCTTCAGTAAAGTTAATATCATTCAAGAGAATCCCTCTTTATCGAGTGCAATCCGGGACCTGTAACTCCTGGCATTTTATTCTTTGGTATTTTTCCAGGTCTTAAGTAAGGATTGTCTATAGCATCTTGCTGAGTTGTAGTTTCTCCATTTTGTTCAGTGTCTTCATTTTGTCCTTTCATACCTGCAAATATATAAAATTTTGTATGCTAATATTTTGTAAAAATTAAATTTGTTAATATTTATTTATAATGAAGTAAAACCTTCTTCAGATTCTTCTATTTCTTGTTCTTTTTTCTTTTTAACTGGACTTGGTTCAAATTGAAAATCTTGATCAGTTTCAAATACCTGATCTTGTGGAAGAAGTGCAGAAAGGTAACTAGGAAATTGTGGTTTACATGATATTACTGCAAAATAAGAATTTAATTATCAAAATTTATATTACTCCCCAATATAAATTTATTGGTTTATATAAACCTTAAGATAATTACTTACATGGAAACATACTATTATCTTCTGTTAGAAACAGACTATGTGTTTCTCCTGTTTTTGCAATAAACCTTGTCAAAGCTCTTTCAATATCACGCTTTTGAGTTGCTGCTTTTTCTCTTATTGCTTCATATTCTGTTACTGGCTGTTTATGTGTCTGTTCATAAGTAAGTTATGTAAGTAAAAGGTCTAATTGAGAACTTATATATGCAATAAATATTGCAGACAAACTAAAAATATCAATAAATATAAAAATTGTAAAAAAATTTTTAATATGTTTATACTTGTTTTGATAATAGTAGTTTACCGGTGTCCTGATATATGCATGTGGATCAGGAAAAGCCGGTAAATAACTTGGTATATGAGGTGGATGACCTTGTTTCACTCCAGCTTGCAAAATATTTAATTGTTTTGATTGTGTTTGTTGCTGAAGAGGTGGCAAAACTGTTCTATTTGCTCTTTTGCCATAACTTTCTAAATTATCCAGTTTTATACCCATATTTATAAGTGCTACAATAACATCTGCAATAAGTGGTTCTGTTCTACCAGAAAGTTCACAGTAATTCCTTGCAGATTCTCCAACTTCCACAATAACTATAAACAATTTATGTAATTATAAATCATCTAATAGAATGTCATTTTATCAATGTTAAAGTAAACGTTGAAGAGTGTGTTTTTAAACACTTCATCGTTTACTAAAATTAATACTTGTTATTTACTAAAATTTATATTAAATAATTTAATACATAACCAAAAATTGATATAGTAATAAGTATTCTCTTTCGTAAAGAAGTTATACTAATCGAAATACATCCTTAAAAAAAGGTAATAAATTAAAATAACAGTGTTTGAAGGAAGATATAAGGCAATAAAATATTTTATGTAAAATGTTAAGAACTTGAAATTCAATATTAATCCTTACAAGACTGTAGCATTTCTGTAAGAGTTTCTAATGCTTGTTTTTCACAAGTATCATAACCACATTCCACCAAAATACTACAAATTACATGATTTAGTATTTTCCTTCGTGTATTTGTTGTTTGAATGTCCATGTTGTTTAAGCAAATAAACTTTATCACAACAAGCACATAACTATTTAGCGCGCCATCATAAGTGGAATTCTGAAGATAGTTCAGAATGATGTTACAACCACAGACAAGGTAAAGAGTAGACCTATCACCCAATGCATTTTTTGGTCACGTTACGGGGGCTCTAGAAGCCCCTTATCATTTTCGTGTCACTTCTAACATTACCAATTCAGCACAGAATAAAATTACATTAGTAGTGGTTGGAATTAAAACTAAATGTAAATATGAATTTACAAATAAAATATAGGACAGAATATCTTACAATCGTACACGAAGTATAGAATTCTATATTTCTAAATGTATAATATATGCGTTAGATTGATCGTAAAGTTTTCTTTGCCTAACAATACCTTCATATGCGAATTTAAGAAAAGAGCATCTTTTACATCTGTTGACTTTACCATCCTTAATGGTTGAATTGTATATAATTCCTAAACTCACTGCTCAATTATTGCTGAGTGCATAACAATTCCTCCGATTTTTTACATGATCGGTATTTCAGAACGTGAGACATAAAGTCCTATAAGATGATAGGTCTATTCTGTACCTCGTCTGTGGTTACAACATAATACAAACATTTTAATAAATAAAATACAAAACGTATATAGCTTAAGTACATTTTTATAACATAACTTTCTCAATAAAATTAGTACACATTTTATATTTAATTAGTTATTAGTCTTTATAGATACAAATTGTTTCATGATTTAGAAGTTTAACAATTTTAAAAATGACCAAAATGTTATTATAAGCAATAAATTTTTAACACATGTAAAATATATATTTTCTTGTCCTTAATAAGGAAGTTAATGCTATACAAATGAAAAATAATAATGTATATTATTAAAGACATTATAATAAACAAGTATTCCTAAATCTATCAAAAAGTAATTAATAAAATACATTATTGTATTTGCAATATATTTTAAGTTTCTTTTTTTATTTTCTTTACCTATTAAAATTTGTTACTAATGGATTTTAAATTATTACGCTTAAAATTGCAAGAAAATTTTTATAGAGTAAGAAAGAATTATACTGAAGTTACTTCTCTATACAAGTACACTACCAATCACTTTGTTGTACTTTGACAATTATTACTTAACTGTGAATTTGTTGAGTTTTCCTTTGCACACGATCGTGTGGTTGACTAAACATCTGATACTAAATTCAAAATAAGTTAACTTTGTTGCAATTCATAAGTTCTTAATATAATTTTTATTTGAAACATCGAGTAATGTCTGTATTTGTATAATAGTGAATAATTTGATGCACATTAGTTACAGTAACGAACGTTAAGCATACGCACGTAAATCGTGCTATATTTTTATGTAAAAGTTACCTTAATGTGTAATTAATAATTATAATTATGGCGTCAGGTTTAGAAAGCTACGTGAATCGTATCCTTTATTTATTTTGTATTGATTTATTATTTTATTTTTAGTATTTGTTTATTCATCCTTAACAGTTCATAGACACGGTTTCTATTATTACTTCTGATGGTAGGAACTTTATTGTAAGTACATTATTTTTAATATACATATCTTTTACAATCAATTAAACATTATATTTTACTTCTTGTATAAGTGGTTACATACAGTGTTGTAAAGTATGTTTAAGAAGTCAGATGTAATTTGTATACTAGAATTTTTATGTTTTTAGGGTACACTAAAGGGTTTTGATCAAACCATTAACATAATATTGGATGAATCACATGAACGTGTATATAGTACAACACAAGGTGTAGAACAAGTAGTATTAGGTTTACATATCATTAGAGGTGATAATGTGTAAGTAATTCACATAATTACAAAAATGCATTAGTGTCCCTTCATTAACAATATTATGTCTTTCTTTCTAAATTCACACATTCATCATTTCCTATCATTTAAACTATACATAATATTGCATAAATGTATTAAACAAGAAACTATTATTCCTTCTTTTATTCTGACAATTTAACAGATAACATAAATATTAATGAATAGAAAAATATATGATTATCAGCTTATATTTTACCCTATATAATTATCTCTTAATTTAATATCAAAAGATTTTGAACACATAAAATGACTATACAACAGATATTAAAAATTTTAATAATATGTTCTTCTCCTTTTTAGGGCAATTGTAGGAGAATTGGATGACGAGATGGATGCACGTTTAGATCTATCAGCTATAAGAGCTGATCCTTTAAGTTCGATTGTACATTAATGGAAAATGATTCAATTATAATTATTATTGCTTGAGAACAATAATAGTAATAACAACTATAATAAGAATTAAATAAGAATCTGTAATAGTAAATTATAGTCAAATGAAAGTACAATTTCTTACACAGGTTATATATTGTATAAACTTGTCATTTTGTATATCCATGATCAAAGTATTTGTGTTTTGAAAAGTACAGTAGGGGAATACAACCATTGCTTACAACGTTAAAGAAACAATAGAAAAACATATTAGAATTAATAATTAAACTGTACAAAAAAGTTTTACTATATGATAGTAAACTTTATTTTTTACAAATGTAATTTTACTTTTTAGCTTCATAGGAATAATAATAAAGGAAAATATTGATAGGTTAACACGGAATAATGATTGAATAATTCTTTAAATTTAAATATATACTCTCTTTCTAATGTTATTTCTCAAAGAGGAAGTATTCTTAATCTGCGTTTTAGCAGCGAAATGTATTTAACATTAATATGTGGAACATATGATTGTACCATATAACTGATAAATGTAATTACTGGGTAAAAATTTTACTAGTACTGTAAAACCTAGATTATTATAAGATTCACATCTATTTAAATACATTTTTAACTGCAGTCCCTACAAACCATGTACAATTATTTTCAAGATTCTTATAAATACATTAATTTTTACAAAATATTGCATTTCATACTGAATTATGTACTCTGTCATTTTACTGGTGTTTCACTTTATGAAATAGGCCTTAGACCGTTTCGTAATTAAACAATTTATATCGTTCTTATGTTGTTTAAACATAATTTAATAAAATCTATATGCATCCTAGAAGCCAAAATTATTGAGTGCACATGAACCATATACATATATATATTTGTATTATGTACTATACATGGAAGACATAAAAAAAGATATAAATCAATCAGTACAATAAAACGATTTTTCCTTTATCGCATCTTATGTATTAAATGTCTTTTCAAATAGATGAAGATATTCAATATATACAGATACATTTTCCCGCAGAAAATTTAATTTGCTATTATCCGTAGTGTAATAGATGTATTTTGTATACTTTTCATATAGAATATGATTTATATTTTTAAATAAAATATAAAACGTCACATGATTATGAGCGTTACTCACACCATTCATTGGTATGTATATTTCATATAAGAAATGCTTGAAAGTGTGTATTTCATGTACAATTTTTAATATTTTTCAATAGCTTAAATTTCTATTTTGCTATTTAATCACTAGCGAGCATTTGACACCATGTACAATTGACACGATCAAAAATTAATCTGGACCGCATAAATGAATGCATTATAACAATGCATGCTGTACAAATTTAAATTAGAATGAGAATTATCACCAGGTACTTTATTTATGTACCTACTCAAAATTGCTTATTGCTTTAATTGTTAGTCACGATATTGGTCCTGTTTCGATTTCGTCGTCTAATTCGCCCACCACGTCTATTTTGGTTTGTTCCATTCCACTCAGGTCCACCATCCATACCGAAACTTGGATTTGGACCATTTGGATTAAAACCCATCATACCAGAATCTGGAGGTACTGGACCAGGACCGGGACCAAAATTATTAAAATTACCACCGGAGTAGGTCGGCGCACCATCGTAAGAGGAATTAACATCTGGCCCAAAACCTACGCCGGGTGCTGGACCTAAAAGTCCAGCTCCATTGTTACGTTGAACATTAAAACGTGGATCAAAATTCATCTGATTTTGAGGCACAACTGGTCCGTTCATAGCCATTCCTGGAGGCATGTTAGACATTCCTGTCATAGCCATTGGCGGTATGTTTTGTGGACCCATAGGTGCATTCATCATAGGTCCCATTGGACCCATATTTCCAAGCATTGGATTTGGACCCATAGGCATCATACCTTGTCCTCCTTGCATACCTTGTGGTCCAGGCATATTCTGAGGAACAGACATTCCACCAGGACCCATTCCCATATTCGACATCTCCATTGGTGACTGCTGTACACTCTTCATCATGGAAGCATTTACATTCTGAGAAGATAAATTGGAAGCCTCAAGAGCTTTTCGACGTGGATCGGACCGAACTTGCGGTGGTGACTTTGGAGTATCCGATTTAACCGGAGGCGGAGACATGGGAGAATCGGCTAATTCAACTTTACCAATTCTAAAGATTTTTCGCAAACGTGGATCATATTTCACCTGAGCATCGTTCTTAGTAAGCTTAAGACCTGTATAATCAGGTCTTGGTATGTCAACAACGTACACTTTATACGTCATTGGAGGATGTGAGGAAATGCTTGCATCGATTTCTGTGCAAGGTACATGTGACGGTGCTGGTTTAAAGGGTAAGCTTAACATTTGTCGCAAATCAACATCGGACTTGGTGGACGTATCAGTGAATCCTGCTCCAACTACTCGAAGGTCTGTATCACCGAAACCGGTTTGAAATTGTTGTCTGAAATCCATATCTTTTCTTCTGAGATCTTGATCCGTTTTAGTTCGAAGATCCGTGTCCATGTTAGTATCAACCGCAGTAATACCAGAACTATAGATACTGGTTTCCAATCTAAGGTGCTTGGATTCTTTTTTACCATCTGTCCTACTAGGACTGCTGGATTTTTGTTCATCTCTACGTTGTCTAGGATCTCGGGACATGCGAGGATCTCTAGATACAAGCGTAGAGCTAATTCCAGGTGAGGAGTGTGGACTTAATGTTTCATTTTCGATTTTTGATAGTTGATTCGATGCATTAAACGTGGTCATACTTCCCATTTTACTATGAGTATTCGATTCATCCGATGACAGTCTATCCGGAGAGGATTTAACTTTTGAAGGATAATCCTGCGCGTTAGCATTTTGTTGGCTGGATTTACCAGTCGTTGAACTATGTGCCTTAAGTGACGATAATAACTTCGACACTTCGGCACTAATGTCAATTTTACTTAAATCTCCAAGTTTATCCACAATAGCTGCTGGTTGTGGTATGGTGGGTGCAGAAGTCGCAGTTTGAAATTCTTCTTTAATTACAATATTTTGTGTCTTCTCTGTCGACTCATTTTCTTCTTTCGACGTATCTTTATTAGAAAGTACTATCGTAAGATTTCCGCCTTCATCATCGTCGTCGTCATCTTCATCATCCGAGTACCAATCTTCTAAAATTTGATCTGTATTTTGCGCGGAACACTCGTTTTCTATGTTTTTAAAACTATCTTGAGCAGCCCGTTGTTGTTGTTGAATACGCATAAACAATTCCTGTGCTTTCTTAGGTAAATGTGCCGGCACTTCTTGTTCTTCTGTTCGCGGTGAAGAAGTATCACGATGCTGATTGTTACCTTCTTCGTTTATTGTACTCGTATCTGTAACAATTTGAGTAATTTTTAATGTTATCTTTAATTTTTATTTTTATTCTTCTTATATACAATAAACGAAAGTAATTGTACCTTCTTGCTCTGCACCTTTGTCTTTCTGTTTATCGTCATCTTCAGTTGGCATTTCTATAACAAGGTCTGTTTCTTCGTCTTGATCGCTTTCTTCGTCAAACTTAGATTTAGTAAGATTTGCTACTTCATCAGCTATACTAACAACTGGTGGTGGTTTTTTCGATGTTTTTAACAATTGTCTTAAATCTACATCTTTTGAATTTTCAAGTATCGAAGTGTCTTTCTTTTTCGCCTGAAAGTAATGAAAAATAAAGTATACAATATTGCAGTTTTTATAAAAAAAGAAATCATACAAGATTATATAATTGTACCTGCTCCAGAATTTCATCCTCCTCTACGTCTTTTGTAAAATCTTCTCTGTCTCGTGGCTTACTTAAGTTGGTTTTGTTTGACTCAGTATTATTAGCTTCGGTGTAGAAATCCATATTTGGTAAGGGTTGCGATATTAATGGTTTTTGATGTAGCTGTGGTTGAGTTGCTAAACCCAATGCAGCATTAGGAAGTTGTAGACCAAATTCATTGGCTGATTGTAACAGCATAATTTGTTCATACGGAACCCTATCCTCATCTGAACCCCATCTAGTTTTCTTACCAGACGGTTTTCTTTCTCTAACACTTTTTTGCTGCTGTGTTTGTTCTTCTACATGAGAAATTTTGATTTTAATACAAGTAACTTTATGAAACAAGTAAGTAAATACATTTCTAAATACCTTTTTCTTCCTTTTCATTACTTTTGTCTGTGGTAATAGTCGGTGCAGTCACATTTAGTTCAAAAAGACTTGGAATTTTCTGATTTGTAGTTTCCTGACCTTGTGCTAATGTTCTTGCTGTATTATTTATCATTAACATTGCTCCTTCTCTACTTAAACGTGGAAAGTCCCCAAGAATTTCTTTTGGAGCTGTTTCTAAGTGTTTTAACAAAATCCCTTTCACCTAAATAATATTTTATTTAGTATGTGCCATTTTTAATTATATTAATTCAAATTAGTAATGTAATATATACCTGTTCATTTAAAGGTTGATGAGAAAATTTACAATTTTCTCCCTGATTACATTTTAATCCTGTATGAAAAAATTTACATGGAAAATCATGATGCATATAAAGGCATTTATCTCTCTTTGCACAACAGTCCATAAGATAAAATTTGCATAGTTCCATTTTCCTAGGTGGCAAAGCATTGTGTGAAAAAGGACAATCATCTCCTCTATGACATTTTCCTTGCATGTAATACACGCATATAGCATCGGGATCTTGATTGTGATCATTATTTTGGTTCCTCCGTCCATTTCTATCATTCCTCATTTGCCCGCGAGTTTTATTTTTACCGCCCCGTTCGTTTTTACCACCTCTACGTCCTATGTGATACAAATATCAATTATAATTAAATATGAAAATGCATTAACTAATGTATTATCATACCTCCTCCACCTCCACCTCCCCTTGTGTTGCTACGCTTATTATCATTATCTCTATGCCGATTTACATTAGGCCTCTCATCGTAATCTGAGTTACTATCAAAGTTTTCATGTTCATTTGCATGCCTTGGTGAGTTATTTTCTTGAGAATCTTTCCTAATAGGTGAAGCGCCTCTGACAAATAACATTTCATCCTCATCTTCATTAATATTTTCATCATCACTCACTTTTCTCCTCTGCAAATTATGTATTCATATTAAATCTATAATAAAATATTGTATTGGTTGATTTTCCATAGCTACTAATAATATTAATTTTGAAACCTTTTGATCCTTATTACGGTCATCTTCCCTTTCATCCCGTATTCTTTTTCTACTTTTATTACGATTGTTTTTACTTTTAGATTTGGAATCTTGATTTCTAGCACCATCTTCCTCTAAAGCTGCCCTAATTGCTTTTTCTACATCCCCTGCCCAATCCTCTGTTGGGCTTTTGTACTTTAAAAATCTGTCGTGCTTGCTACTTCCTTGAACACTTGATTTCTTATTTTTATTAAACTTAGAATCGAAAGTTTTATTTTTTGATACATCTGTTTTTGATGCATTTTTATTGACATCATCATTTACTGGTGGTGGCATGGGTTCATCATCTTCATCAGATGGAATTTCCCCATCTTCCAAGTCATTATCATTATTACTACACATATATTAAAAATACATTATTAGTCAAAGGTACTTTACAGCTTCAAAACATTTATTGTGTGAATTTTGTGTAGTATACATTTTATGTATAGCATTATATAACTATTGAATTCAATGTCTGTAACGATGACAAATGTTTTGCTTGAGTTCTTTTACCATTCAGATTACCTCAAATGTGTCTTAAAATTTTTCTGCAACCAATCCTAATCTTAAATATTTCTATGTTAAGAAATAAGAAATCTACTTTTTAATATTAATTAAAAAACAATCTAAGAATAAACCAAATTATGCAGAGAATTATTTCAAATATTTTTTGTGTACCCTAAAATACCTATCATTTTAATATTGAATGATTTTGTACATTTTTCAAAGCTGAAATTTTGTATCCATAGAAACAAAAATGCAAATGCTTTTTCATTTCAGTTCAACATCATCATCATCATCATAATTATGATCATCATCATGATCATCATCATAATCATCATTATTCATGAGAAGTTAAAGAAGAAGTGCAAAATACATTTCTTCTGTAAAGTTAAACAAAAAGTCATAAAGAAATTGGACTGTGCTTGTATAAGCTGTCAAGGACATTATCAGCAATGGTCATTAAATACATCACAGGTTGTACGTTGAATAAAGGAACATCGAACTTTGGTCGAGCAGAGTATAGCTGAAAGGAGCTCCGCTACTAGTTGACCTGAAAACATTAGCTGCTTTGGGAGTCGACTAACGACACGTTGTAGCACAGTAGGCATCGATCGATGCAACTTCGAAATATAGTCAACGTAACATATGGTTGGAAAATAATCGTTTTCTCAACGTCCTCCGTTACTGACTTAACCGGAAAACGATATTTCTCAGAAACGTATGACGTTCATACGTTGAGTGACACAATAAGTAGAAGCACAAAATTACAATATAGAGAAAGAAAACCCACATAAAATGAAGCGTATAACCATTCCCACATTTAAAATGAATATACGTATAAATAGAAAACTAATTGGCAAATTATAGGCGCTAAAAGTTGTTAAAATTAGCACAGTAAACGCATCATCTGCATATCATGTAGGAAAATAATAAATTGGAATTTCCTTACCCACGAATTGCGTTCATTATTAGCATCATTATCATCATCAACTATCATAATTCATCATCATCAATGTAATAGCATGAACATCAGATCAATGTACATCACATTATTTTTACAGCATATCTCATTGTCATCGTTACAGCATTGCCAACAGTGCGTGTAACATTTTTGATACCGCAGCGTCAGAATTTCTTCGCGTGTAGACCCCGTTTGTCTCGTTCATTCACGTGCATACATATGTATGTAATGTACACACGTGTATGCATGTATACATGTACGTATGTACATCGAGCACACACTACATGTACGGCGTCTATGCAAATGTAGACTGCGTGTATGTGTATGTGTATTTGTGTAAATATGTATTCGAAACCGAGAAATGTTTGTATATAAGTGTCTTACTCCCCGAAGATCCCGTGCATATTTTTATCTACTTCTATAAGTTCTATTTCCAAATTAATTTAATGCCGATACCCAATTCTTCAATGCTCATAAACTATACATCGTTAGATTCGTATTACTGTAGTTATGTGTAAGCATGGAAATATTATAGGCATGAACATTTACACACGCAGTTGAGTCACTATGAAACTGAAACTTTTATCTCTACTTGAAATTTTATCTGAGTTTATGTCCACATAATCTACCGATAATATTGTACTAAAATCTCCCTTTTTACGGCTTAGTAACAAAAAAAGTAGACTTACTTTTTGTTACTATATTCTTGCAAATAATTCGAAGAATTTCTTTGTTACGAGAATGACCTTGACCCTACAAATGGTGTCAAGGTATTGAAATGTTCGAATGATTTCATAATTTGGCAGTATAGCTAACTTAATTTCGGAGCAAAGAAGAACCATTTAAAAGACATGAAACAAAAAATAAGTTACGTATACCCGAACAGTGTAATGGGTTCATTTTTTCTCAGTGCCAATAGTATATACTGAACGAAAGCGGGGGACAGCACGGAGCTTCCGGAGAGGGGGTCAACGTGTATCGTGAGTGGTAGTTAACAGTCATAAAATTTCGACTGTTTTGTTGGTGAATAAAAAATGTGGAGGCAAACCTTTGGATTAGAGTCTCGGCCGCGGAAACACTCTCTAATGCCATTGTTTTGTCCCGATCGATCGTGTTTTGTACCGTATGATATAGCACTGTGGCCCGAAGATGATCATTCGATCGATTGACGCGACCACACTCGATGGCTCTTTGCTTGCGAAATAATCGCGTGCCTGAATTCTAGCATTTGAAATTTTGAAAATACTCGTTACAGGACACGAATTAGCCTACAGAATGTGTCTGGTGTGTCTCTCCGTTTCTCTTTCTCTCTTGGGCGCGTGCGCGCACCAATAACCGAATGATACCAGTTTTATTAAACGTTTTCCGCCTTTTTTTTCTCAGCCTTCGTTACGCCCCTGTCCTTTTTTCTCTCGAATATTCTTCTCGCCTGAACACAACAGGCTATTTCGTGACTAAAGTTTCTTTATTCTCTGCTTTATCCGGGATACTATTATTGCACTTTAGATTCGGTGAAGTATGGATTTTCACTGTGTCTCTCCTCTCCTTGGCTATTAAATTTCGTTAAATGGCGCTATCTCACCACTGCAACGTCATTCTGGCTTGACGTGGCATATGGCTGACCAACGAAAAGCTTGTAGGCGTTCTAGAGTCTCTTTTCCATGTACGATCGTGATTGACATCGAATAAAATACAAAAATAAAACAGCGAGCAGTGCTCGATAAGGAAATACGCGTGCGTATTTCTGCAAACCGTAACGAGGCGAAAAGGAAAAAGCGTTTTTCCCAAAAATACGACCCGAAGCCTCGTAGAATACGTGAAGGCGTAGCTTCCACTTTAACGATTCCCGTCCCGTAATTTAATAACGGTGCTCTTTTCTTTAATTGAAAATTATTGGGAGAGAGAGAGAAAGGGAGCGACGAATTGATCTGGCCTTGCCGTTAAAAACAACTGCGAGTTAATCAGACGCGCGTCTGTTATTGGCGATAGAATTTTATCAAAAAAGAATTTTAAATGCACGGACTCGACGCGATTCGTGTCTCTCCTGGATGGATGACAGCGTTTACGTCTCTTTCGTGTACTTCCGCGTTAGAGATTTATCTCAGCAAAAGAAGAACATATGTATTATGAACGAGACTAGTCGCAGGCAGGCGAAAAGTACGATGGTCGGACAGAGCGTATTACTATGTCAGCAGATTATATAAAAATGTATCAGTTATGAGACGATGAGCGAAAACTTCAAAGATCAAACTAAACATGGCCACATCTGGAACTATTCTGAGCGGGCAGCTGCACGAAACCTCGGAAGAAGGGCGAGCGAACGACACCGAGCTGGGAGGAAAGCAGCGCTGATCCGTTTTCGCCAATCAGAAGCCGCGTTCAACGATCACGTGCTCTCTCTTCCATTATTTGCATTCCCCCACTCTAATTTCCTCTCACTTCCCCACTTTTCTTTATTGCTTCTGTTTATGTGGAGCAAATTCCTGAAGCCTTCGTTGACCCTTGGTTTTCTACGCACAACTTGTCTGAAAGCGAGCTTATGGATATATTACTCGTATTGAAAACATTGCACTTGGGCTTTCACACTATGTGCACATTATTTCCAAATGTTTCTTCAATTTCGTGGTTTTGCACATGTATAATACAAACTTTTAAAATAGAAAATATACATGTAATTACTTCAGAAGATTACATTTTTGATTCTTCAATTGAATTTCAATCGGTGTATTCATAGATACGTTATTAGAACTGCTGAATTGTATGTTTGATTATAATTTGAAGGACTTTTATTTTCAGTCAACAAGCGTTTAAAAATACAGACATGATAGTTCTTAGAATTGAACAATAAATATATGGTATATGCGTTAAAAAAAAAAGTAATATCGAACATTGTAATACTAATGTAGTATCATATGTTCTATCAAATTAATCACTAAAATATTAAAAGTAATAAATTATAAAATAACGTATAAAAATGTTATAATAAAAATGTTAGTTATACTATAAACAAAAATTTATTTTACATATTTATGGATTTATGCAATTTTTATACAATTAAATTATCTTTCTTTAATTCTACATAATACTCAATGATATTACAACAATTTGTTTGTACAAAATAAAGGCAATATAAACATAAATGTAATTCTTATTGTTAAGCAAGTTGGTCCTGTGAATTTGTTTGTACAAACTTTATATTCTAAACGGATTTAATTGCTTTTAACTTAAAAATATACGGCAGTGTAAAATGTCACGCTATAGACGAATACTCGCAAAAATTATAATTTTATTTGACTTGTTCATGCGAACGTTGATGGAAAACAAATGAAATTCCACTTGACCAGCATTGTCGCAATGGGATATCTGGCAAATTTCGTGCATTATAGGAGTGCCTCCAATCCGATAAATCTGAATTGCAATCTGATTGTTGGGGTGGTCCTTTTACTTCTATGCCATTAACACACCTTTTACATTTGAACCTGAAAATTTAGAATATTTTATTAATAATTATTCATATAAATATTCATAATCTTCAATTATCTTAAACTTACTTGGCATGAGTATCAGATATGGTATTTTCCTCTAGCTTAAATAAATCTCGTAAATCATTTAATGTAAAATGTCTTGCAACGTCTTCTTCTTGATCTACGACTGTTGAACTTAATGCTTTCTTATGTGCTTGCCGTTGAAAAATCTTTTCTTCGATAGTGCCAGTCTACAATATATTTAAATGAAAGTAGAAATAATGTAAATTATAAGTAATTATTGTAAAATTTATGTACATACACAAAGAAAACGATAAACGAAACACGGCTTTTTCTGACCATCTCTCCAAACTCTAGCCATAGCTTGATCGTCATTTGCAGGATTCCAATCAGGATCAAACATGACCAGGCGATTTGCACCAATAAGATTTAATCCACAACCACCAGCTTTAGAGCTAAGCATGAAAATAAAATCGTTGCTATTTGGATCATTAAATTTGTCTACTACTTTCGACCTTTTTTTTATAGTCATAGTGCCATCCAGCCTAACATAATTATAAGAACGTTTGTAACACAGTTTTTCAAACAAGTCGAGGGTTTGAGTGTAATTAGATACCAATACAATTTTATCATTTGTTGTTGTTTTAATAGATGCCAAAAGACAATCTAATACCATTAATTTTCCGGATAGTTCTGGTAAAATTTCTCTAGAAATAAAATTATAAAAATAAAAATAACTATTTCTCTGCATGACAGTGATAGATTTTAATATTACATACTTAGTACTATAATTTGGTGGCAGTAATTTTACAGCATTTTCAAATCCATCAGATTTCTCCAATATTTTATCATAGACTAAATCAGGATGATTACACAGTTTTTTCAAAAGTGTAATTGCTGAAAGTGCAGAAAAACTTTTCCCTTTCTTAGAGTTATCAGAATTTCCTATCAAAAAAGATACATATACGTTAGTTAAATTTAATAATAATTCTAAATAGGATAATAAGTTTGCAATAACAAACCTTCCACTGATTTTTTTATGCTATCACTTTGTATAAAATTTTTATAAAGTTCATTCTGTAATTTTCCCATTCTTATGCAAACCACTAATTCATACTTTAATGGTAAATATTTAGAAAGTAAGGCACTCGTACGTCTAATAAGACACTTATTGACGATAGTCACTAATTCTGTTAAACGTTCCTGTGCGAGTTTGCGTTCAGTATCTGTTGCAGCTGCATCTTGACCGCGTAAAATTGGTATTTCATATTTTTTTCTAAATTCCTGAGGAATCAAATTTTAATACAATATTAACCACTCTCCTGCAGTATTTGAAGTATTTGAAAAATATTTTAAATTTCTCATCAATATTAGTTAATATACCTGTGCGGTTCCTAGTAATCCTTGATTAACAAAATGTACAAGAGAAAAATATTCTAAGAGATCATTCTGGATCGGTGTTCCACTAAGTAGCACTCTTCTTTTAGCTTTCAGATTCATAAGTGCTTGATATGTTTGATTTTCTGAATTTTTTAGGCGATGTCCCTCGTCACATAATACAAGACCTACTTCATCGCAATGAAGAACGTGTGCGTGCAAGCGAAAAGTTTCATAACTAATTATTAGAATGGGGTTTGCACACCTACGGCCATAAGTTTTCATAAAACCAGTAAGTTTTGCATCAATATCTGCTTTGTTTCCACCATCAATGGCTAATGGTTGAACTCTATTTTTTAACCATTTGAAAATCTCATTATACCAATTTTTAACCAGTGAACTTGGAGCAACAATAATAGCTTTCTCTATCACTGGTTTAGCTTCAGGCC